CAATAATATTATAATAAATATTTAAATAATAGTTACATCATTTTTTAAAACTTATTTATTGATTTACCATTTATTGTTACATATTTAGTAATGACATCAGTGGGAAATATGTTTCTTTCATTGATGCTTATTTTAATTTTTTTTAAATCATTGTGTTACAATCATTTTTATAGTAATGAGATGCTAATGAGAATCACCATTGAGAATAATGGGAACAATAATACCCAAAAAAATAAAAATAAAAAAAATAAGAAGACAATTGCTTTTCAATGTTCTTCATTCAAAAGTTTTGGATTAAAGCATTTTAAATAAATGTAAAAGTTAACTGTCATGAAATTAATGTCAAAGCTAAATGTTAAAGCTTCATTTTCTTAAACCTTCTTTTCTTAAATTCTTTAAAATGTCATTTCTTATTTCTTTTGATTTGAGGATGAAATATAGCCATAGAGTTTTGACATGTTTTGTGAGATTCATCCCCTTCTGTAATGTTTTAAGGGTCTGTCATTAACACACTTCCGCTTTTGACATTACAAAATTCATTAATGGTTTCATTCTACAGTAAATGTGTCTTTGCTCGAGGAATCAGATATAAACAAATCCCATCTTGCAGAAACATATACTCGAAGCTTGGTGAATTACACCTGTGGTTAATTTGTAGGTGCTTAAATACCTCTGGCTGAATTTAGAATATGAGCTAGTCCTCCAAATAGCCCTGTCAAATGCAAAGTGCCACTGCAACCAAACACAAATTTCTGTCTGCACGTCCAAGTAATTATGCACTGCCAACTCCCTAGAGTCAAACTCTGAATCCAGTATTCCTCACAAAGGACTTAAGGGCTGCAGCATGGGTGTGTGTGCTGCCCACGTCTTCCTGTGTGTTTCAGGGAACCACCTACATTTGAACACAATAATGACCAGTGTCCTTCCCACCCCCTGTACACACACCACGTTAATGAACTGTAATCACATCTCTGGGCCTCTGGTGGACCTGGCTGTGTGGGCGGGGCTTCTACCACTAGCAGAGTCTGATTGCCTCCCACCCTTCCATCCATTTTCTGCACAGCATGGCTAATGAGGAACGATCCAACCAATCAATGTGCGACCTTAAATAGAGAAATGAAAATAAAAGGATTAATCGAGGGTCATGCAGTTCTTACATCTCTCCAACCTAGTTGTTTGGATCATTATGTGATGGGAGGTGAAAAACAGTGGTTTTTGACACGCATTATTATGTACGAAAAATGCCAGGTTACATAGGTCACAATCCTCAATACAGAAATAAAGATGTAAAAGAGATGAAAAGAAAGGTTTATTGTTTTTGAAAGAAATTAATACTTTTCTTCAGCAAGGATGCATTAAATTCAAATTCAGTGACAGGAGAGACATTTATAATGTTATAAAAGAAATATATTTCAAATAAATAATTTTTTATTCATCAAAGAATTTAGAAAAACAAATAAATAAATAAAAAGGTGAGCATATATAAAATTATCTTATAATGGTTCATAGTGAACACAGCTGCTAAGCTCCAATGACCAAAAAAACCCCATTAAACCGCACCTTAAATATAGCCATGTGATTTGTGTATTATATAACAAGTCTTCTGAAGCCATACAATAGTTATGTGCAAAAAAAAAAAGGAGCATATATGACCAAAAGTATGGACTGAACATTTTTATTGGACCACATTCATTGTCACTTTGAACTGTCATTGTATGCAAAAGAGCTGCATGAACATTCTTCAAAAAATCTCCTTTTGTGCTCCACGGAACCTGTAACAGCGCACACATTGGAACGACATGAGGATGAGAAAATTGTGACAGAATTAACATTTTTGGGTGAACTTTAATTAAAATAAACAACATTTACCACAAAGAAGAGCATTAAAACATTCAAGCGTTCCCTCAAGTAAAAAACTCCTCCTCAGCATCTGCACTACTTACAATTCTGACAACAAAGCAAACAAGAGTTTTTAATGACCCGAGACAGCGAGCATCTCAGGAATATAATAACTTGCAATATGTTCAGCATAAAGCAATAGATGAAATCACACAGCGAGCGTAACATATTTTCCAAAACACCCTGTATCTTAAGATGGAATCGTCTGTTTTTTTCACGTTTGATGTTTACCAGACGGCAATTAAAAACAAGCTCTGCTGAGGATTGGTTCGCCCCACTCATCCGCCTACCTACAGAAAGACTCAGCCTCGACTGATTTTTTTCAGCTCTCTGCTTATGTCAATCACCGTTCTTGCTCTCTGCAGCCTAGCAGCAGCCTACCACCCTATCCTCCTTCAGGAAACAGAACGGAAAAAAAGCATAAGCAAGGGTAAGAAAATACACAAAGAAGAAACTGCCAATCTTCCAACTCGCAAAACAAAGATCACATCACCACAAATGTGCCACTATTTTAAAAATGCAACTGCAGAACATGTGGCCTGCACATGAATGAACACAACAACAAAGAAACAGAAAGATCAAGAAAAGAAGTCACCAACATTGAGCACTTTCATTGGACAGAAAGCCTTGAGGCCTTATTTGCCTTCAAAGTCCTCCAGCCATCCTGGGTGTAGGACGGGCTTAAGTGCACCAACATAAGGCCCAGCTCTGTGGGTGTCAGATTTTAGCCCACTAATCACAAGCTCAGAAGTCCTTCTCTGTTTTGGAGAGGCATTCGTCAATGGAATGCGCTCTTTGCCAAAACCTCTTTTTGAAGTAGACCGCAGCTGTTACGATGAAACTTGTGTCTCATTTTGAAACTTGTGTCTCATTCTGTGACATAAAATAAGGAGAATTAAGAAACAAATGCAAAATAAACTGGAAATTTAGAGCCTTAGTGTTTATTAATGCATATTTACAATTAATTTAGTGTCTATTAATGCATATTTACAGTTAGAGGAATAGTTCACCCAAAAATGAAAAGTTGCTGAAAATGTACTCAATATGTAGATTTAATCCAAGATGTAGATGAGTTTGTTTCTTCATTGGAACATATTTGGAAAAATGTAGCATTACATCACCGTCAGAATGAGAGTTCAAACAGCTGATTAAAACAATAATCTAGAAGTAATCTACATGGCTCCAGTCTATCAGTTAATATCTTATAAAGTAAAAAGCGGCATGTTTGTAATAAACAGACATTTATAGATGTTTTTAAACTTCAAACAGTTGCTTCTGGCTAAAATACGAGTTCACTATAATATTGCATTCTCCAGTGAAAAAGTTATCTCGTCTGAAGTAGGAGACAAATATGCACACAACTGCACAGACCAAGAGAAAACTATTCAAAACAGTTCTAAACAAATATTTCGGTGATTTTTATGTGAGAGGACAACAGGGGATGGACTTTTTCACTGGAGGAAGTGTTATTATGGATTGTGGACTATGCATTTAGGCCAGAAGCAATGGTTTAAAGTGAAAACGCTTTAATGTTGGATTTGTTTCTTACAAACACGCAGCTTTTCATTTCACAAGACATTAATTGCTGGATGGGAGTTGTGCGATTTACTTGTGGATTATTGTGATGTTTTTATCAGCTGTTTGGACTCTTATATATATATATATATATACATATATATATTTATATATATACAGTACATATACATATAATATATATTGCATCTTATTTACCATTATCTCTTAATATTCTGAACCAGCGGTCATGAAACCTGTGGAGCTATTTTGTTAAAAGGCCCTTAACTGACTCTGCGTCAAAAACGGGACTTTCTGTACCTTAACAAAAACCACAAAGCCTTCTAACCAACACTTTTTTTCTTAGTATACTTTCCCCTGTGGGACATTACCTTCTGACAGTCTGCTACAGCAACTGAAGATAAGCTTCATTATTAGTGCTAAAAGTTATTGATGAGTGCAAGCAGCAAAATGATTAAAATGTTGTCATTTAACAGGTTGACTGAGAAAAGAAATGCTCTCTTTCTTGGGCAACGAGGTTAGAATTCTTCCTAGAAATCAAAATGACAGAAACAAACTCATCTACATCTTGGATGGCCTGAGGGTGAGTACACTTTCAACAACTTTTTATATTTGGGTGAACTATTCCATGCATATTAAAAATTCATTTAGAATTAATTTACTGTCTATTAATGCATGTTTACAAACCACAAAAATCCCCCTTCCATTTCAAAGGGCGAAGAATGCACAGAGATGACATTTTCATCTGGTCTCCTCTAGATTTTGGTTTAACGTTTTTCTTCCCACAGCTTATCTTTGTGTTTGCTTCAAGACTGCATTTGCAGGACTAGACATTTTAAGATTGCTTAAAATTGCTGATAGACAACAATGGATTTTCCATGTTTTCTACATTTTACTATATAATATAATAACAATTAATTATGTTAGGGCATTACAAAATTCATGATTTTTAAGATTTTGACAGATAGACAATGCAATGTGCTCAACCTTCTGTTGTGAACAAATGGATGTAAAATCATCTTATTAATATCAGAATAGCTTCTTCTTGGCATTTTTACACTAAACTTATAAACACAAATAAAATAAAATGAAACCTAAATATCAGATGGAAAAATGTAATGAAAATTAGAAATATTGAAAAATTAACTGAAAAGTTAAAGCACTAAAATTACTAGCACATAAATGATATAAAAATATGAAGACTGATATAAAAATAAATGAAACCTAAATAGTAAAATTTAAAAAGAACAAAAAGTAATACAAATGACAAAAACCACATAACAAAATTACTAAAATTTATGCTAAACTTAAAACAAAGACTAAAAAAAATAAAAATAATAGAAGCCAACTGAAAATACTAAAAACTACAATAGTACGTAAATCTAACTACAAAATAGCGTTATTGACTTTGACTGCGGATTAAGACTGGACTAATCAAACATCAAACGCCCAAATAGACTCCATTAAGACAACTTAAACTTTGAAATAGCTTTCAATGCGCGCTTTTGTGTATCTAACGACTTTTGTAATTTAGCATTTTACATGATAAATTCTACATGACAAATGAGTAAATTAAATTTCGGGACCCATCATGCAGTCTGAAACTGTTAGTCTGGTCTGGGTTACACGAAGCCCACCGAATTTGAAACCGAAAACATTAGCTTAGCTCATGTTAGCTTAGCGGGCCAATCATTAACCTGCTGTCTGTCAAATCTATCCATTTAGCACAATAATCCACAAAAACATGGGGAAGTTAGCTGCTTTTATACCCGTTTTAACTCTTTTGTGTGCTTCATGGCAACGTGCAGAGGGAAACAAAGGATATTCATACGCAGGTAAATGATTCGAGTCATATGCTAAACAGACAGCAGCATAAACAAACGCCATTAACACTACAAAACAGGCACATTGTGTATAGATAACGGTATTATGCTGCGTACCTTTATCTGGGATTTTAAATGCGATAAAATCGCCGAGTGCAGTTAAAGTACTGTTTATTTGGGTCGTGAACTGTGTGAGCTGGACACAAATGCTGTATGTCAAAATCTAGTGAAGCATTTGTATACCCGTGGTACTGTGTGGATAGGGACTTTATTATTTTTAAAATCTATTTATAATATAATCTGTTTGTATTTTGTGTTTTTAAGTAAAGTAGACTGTTCTGTAACAAAAAATAATTTTATGAGAACAGTATTAAATACGTTTTAAAAAAAGACTAAGGAAATGAAACGTGGTATGTGGTTTTCCTGCCTTTTTTATTTTAGAAAAAGCAATGTGGATTACGGTTTTAGTATGTGAGATTTTTCAGCATCCAGTCAACAATAACCAAACATAACTGGTTTGTCTGCATGTGTTTGTAATCTTATCATGGTCCTTCTAACCCAGGGCTGTCCAAACTCGGTCCTGGAGGGCCGGTGTCCTGCAGAGTTTAGCTCCAACCGTAATTAAACACACCTGAACCAGCTAATCAAGCTCTTACTAGGCATAGAAACTTCCAGTCAGGTGTGTTGAGGCAAGTTGGAGCTAAACTCTGCCGGACACCGGCCCTCTAGGACCGAGTTTGGACAGCTCTGTTCTAACCTGTCTGTCAAGACTCATTTATTCACTCTCTGTTTCAGGTTCTAGATAACAACTCTGTCTTTTGGTTGTGAGGCCTTATTTTAGGCCCTGCAGTCCCTTATAGTGTCTATTTTTCCTCATTGTGCCCAGTTTGTCTCCATTAATGAAAACAATGTAGAAAAGTTTATGAATTGTATTAATGTTTATGAGTTGCATTAATGTGACAGTGGAGCAGTTCCAAATAAGCCCACTTGACAGAAAATTAGATTTATGGATTATAAATAGAGGTGAACCGATTTTACAGATTTTACAGATGATGATAACTAGGTTGGACCACACTGGTTGGCAACGGATTCAATAAGTAGTTTTTAAAATGGATACTGACTGAAAACAAACGTAACACTTCTAAGTAAAATTGTGCTCAACCTTATTACTACAAAAAAAAAAAAACACTTCTGAACTGTGAAAATGTACTGTACATTTTAAATATAAATAAATATCAATATATTAATTAGGCATATACCTTGATGTTTATTGTTATGACTTCATGTTGGATTCTTATTGTAAAGTGTTACCATTCCACAAAACAGTCATGCTTAAAGATGGCCATCTTTAAATATTTACACAAAGGCCATAGCATTGAAATTAGGTACATATGTATGTATATTGTATGTATACTCTCCCACTTTATTTGCTTCTGTTTTTAGAACCCTTAATGATTATCTAATCAAAATAACAAATGTATTACAGTAACATTTCCCTTATGAACCCCAGTTTGGGAAACCCTGCCATAAGTGATACTTCCATTTATAAATGAACAACAACAATAAATTGTGTGAGTAATACTTTTGGATCGAAGCAACCACACATGAGCATGTCAGGATTTAGAAAGTGAGGATGCTGCAGTTGTAGTAGTATAGTGATTAGAATGAATTTAGCCTGTGGGCAGAAGCTCTTCTGTTGCCAGCTGTGATTTTCTGGGACGCTTTTGTACTGTTTTAGACATAGAAAAAAAGAAAACGAATGATGGGGATTGTTAAAGTAGAGGAGTAACACTGATTCTTTCCTGATTCTGACAGATTGCACCTATGTGAAAGGAGACAGTGCCCACGAGTATTCTGGGAGTCAATGCTTCTGTTACAGCCCTGGTACAGAAATCGAATGGAAGGACTTCTGGTCCACCTTCAAGGTAATATCACATCATGCTGTAGTGTGTGTGTGTTTTTTTTTTTAAACATTTATTTTATTTTATTGGAATAACATGAGGGTGAGTTAACTCTCCCTTTAAATTGAATACTGACTAGACATATGTTGTTCACAGGTAAATGTGACAAGTGATGAGGACATCTTTGTCGTGTTTCCAGTGGAGACCAGAAATTGCCATCATCCGGATGATCTTCTCACAGTTACTAACTGCTTTGTTGAACGCTACTGGCCACCCACTATCCAAAGGGAGAAGTCTTTGGACATTTCACTGGTTGATGAAGATGTCTGCTTCATGACCAAATCGCCTAGAAGCAATACTAAGTATACACTACACGTCTCCAACAAAAGTGAGCCAGAATATCACGCACAGCTTATTCTTACAAAGAGTAGTTGGGCACTGAATCATGATTATTTATGTTCTTTTACAGGGTTAAATAGAATGTGCTTCCTGCTTTTTGTGTGTGGTCTGGTGCTGTTTTTTGGAGCGGGAAACATATGCAGGTAAGTGGCAATTTAGCAGTTCAGATGTTCTCATCTAGAGATAATCTGCAGTAGAGAATCAGATTTAATTCTGATCAAGTTTTTTTTTCTTTTTTAAATTACACCACCTTAAACTGGGATAAAGTAGTATAATATAAATCACACTACATTTTAAGGAATTGTACACACAAAAATGAAGGCATTTTTTGAAGAATCTGTATGCAGCCTTTTTTTATATATAGACCATCTGACCATCAAAAAAAACACTGTAAAAGCATGGTAAAATTGGTTAGTGCAACTAGTGTGGTACATTCTAGTCTCCTGAAGTCATATTTTGGGTGTCAGTTAATGCCTGCTTCTGCTGTCTGGATCAGAGTATGTGAGGGGAGTGGCGTGATTTTTAACTGGAGCAAGCGGTGGGTGGATTTTTTGAAAGCATTGTGGTTTTCACTTGCTCCAAGAGCACTCCACTACCGCTCTATAATGAGCACAATTAATGCAAACAGCCCATTATATATAACTGCATTTTTATCAAGAATTCACGCATCATTAGCTAGCTTGACAGATATGTGGATCACTCAAATCAGAAAGAAGGTGAATGTATAATGACGGCGATGGACGAGTGCAGGAGGTTATATCTCAAGCATGTTTATTTGTAGCATGTGGATACTCAATATTGATTGGGTGAATTCACGTTTTAAACAGGTTATTGTACAGGTAGTTAATCTCCGCTCTAATCTAAAGTGCTGCTACATTGCTGCACACAACACACAAGTTTGTACATAACGTACAGATCGCGCGCACATAGAAACATTCAGGAGTGCAGAAAATTATTGTCAACAATGTCCTGTGATTTATCAGCTTGAAAACGGAAAAGTTACAGCATATTCTTTGTTTCTGAAGTAACTACAACCCTCAGCTTCGCCATTGTAGAGAGACGCTGCACAGACAAGTGAGTTAAAGTCATTTAATATTAAACTATTCTTCTAATATTGTGTATTTATTTTTAGTTTAATATAAGTTCTGAACAGAACTTTGTGATTTTTCAAAACATACTGAAATATTTCAGTCGCAAATTTCGTCATGGAGCGAAGGCGGAGTGGTGTTTCTGATCAGTTGAGCGAGGAGCAGGAAATGCTGAACCTGGAGTGGAGTGATCATTGAATACTTGGAGTTCGGAGGAGAAATTGTTGCCACTCCACTCTCATACTCTGGCCTGGTTAGGGTATATTTAGTTCAGTACGTGATTTCAAATTTATAAAGCCTTTATTAAAGAGGTTCTCAACCAGGGGGCCACACACTTCAAAGAAGGCTGCAAGATGGTTTAAAATGACTTTTTAAAGCTTTCAACTAACTAAACAGCTAAACAATTAAACAAGGGTCAATATTATTTTAATTCATGCCCACAAAAATAAATTTTTTTAATGGTCTTGGAAAACCTGGACACTGCATGAGGAAATAGTGTGATTTTACAGACCTAGAAATGTCATGGAAATTTCTGTAATAAATGTGATTATTTTTTTCAATATATGTCAAGCTCTAAAATATTATAACAGGTAGAAATAGCTTTAGTGAAAGTGATGAAAGTGAAAGTGATGTGACATGTGGCCAAGTATGGTGTCCCATACTCGGAATTTGTGCTCTGCATTTAACCCATCCAAGTGCTCATACACAGCAGTGAGTAGTGAACACACACACACACACACCGTGAACACACACCCGGAGCATTTTATCTGATTAAAATAATGCGAAACCTTATCCCATAATCATAAACATCTGGAAACGCCATGTAATTTCATTGGACATAAAGAGTGTGAAATACATTTACTTCTTGAGATGCCTGGAATTATGGAATTTATTTACTTTGTATTAATTTTAATTATCTGTTATTATTTCACTATAATGCCATTCTTAGTTTTTGTAAGTTAAAAAGTTTAAAACAAGCAGCTTTGTCAGCTGAAGTATATTCGCTCTCATGGGAGGCTTTAAACAACATCTTGAACAATAGGGGTCTTGCAGTCAATGCATAAAATGTAATATTTGTTAGCTGAAAATCTGGCTGTCCGCCAATGCTCTGAAGTCTCACCTGCATTAACATTGAAAATAGTGTGCATTCCACACAAGGTTTGATGACAAAAAGACATTGGTTCTCACGTATGTTGTAACCGGGGAAGATTTTTAGTGAATAACAAGCTAAAGTTCAGTGTGTTTCTAACACAAAAACTATTGCATGAATATAACTCACAAGTCATGTGGACTACTTTCATGTAGCTTTTATGGTGCTTTTTTTGTACTTTTTGGAGCTTGACAGCCATGGTCACCATGAATTGTTTATTAATTCATTTGTGGTTGAAACTTAAAACTTATTATTCTAACCGACTCTTCATGTTTTCCAGGAGCTCACTGTTTTTCTACACCACTGGAGTTACATTGGGAGTCGTCGGCATATTTGTTTTCCTGACGCTTGTTCTCAGAAACTTCGTACCAACAGTGTGTAATGCTACTGTCACAACCTTTATCATGATCATGATACACAGTATCACATGTTTCCTCCCACTGATCAAACATGTTGGATGAGTAGTATGAGTTTAAGCCTGTCAATGCTGGCATTGATGAGATTAAAGATAAAGGGAGGTGGAGACTCACTCCTCAACACAAAACATCCTCAGGCATGTACATCATCGTAAGGTTTTATGTAAAAAAAAAAAAAACAGGGCTGTGCAATCATTTACAGATTGACTGGCAGCTCATAGTTTTGGGGTAGGTCAGAAGGTCAAGCACTTTCACTAAGGCTCTGCTTTTTTACCCCCAGCGTGGGCTGTTCCTGGTGTTGTTGGGCGCTGGCTCTGGTCTGTCCTACATGGGGATCCAGAGGGTGATAAATGAATGGGATGACATCGTGACTGAGCACTGGATGGAATTACTGGGTAACTAGGCAACCTTTTTCTGTTACAACCCATCTTGCCCTGTTTTCCTTTGCAATCATCTCATCAGCCAATTACATCAGACAGTAAGCCTTCGCTAATGTTAATAAATGGTCTTTCAAATGTACCTTTTGTACAGTTTTGCGTTTCAGTCGAATGCCACATGTTGTCTGTTAATTTGCTTGACGTGCTCTTTATACAATAGAATAATTACCGTACATGTCATTTAGAAAGATTATCCTTCTACACTCTCGCTGCATGTTTCATCAACTGAAGCGCTCGCATTAGAACATGCCAGCATTGCATAGTAACAGTCTAGAGCAGATTGAGATTCACCTTTTGTATCGTATATCTTGGCTCCGTTAGTGTTATAATATGAGGGCCAAGTATTTTGAATGCTGAAATGACTGCCTCTTGACTGCTCAATAGACTCTATTCTCTGCCAAATCAATTTCCCTCTTCAAGCACTCGCAGTATGTAAATGCATCAGTGTTTGAATGCGAGAACCACAGGCATATTAAGATTAAGGGAAAGAATCTGCAGTGCTGCTGGAACATTGATTTCTATGCCTAAAACAAAAAGGCTCTGGGAGGATTACAGCCCCAGTGAATGTCTGTTTTTTTTTTTTTTGGCCCTTTTATTTCCTCTTTGTTTTTTCTTCTGTTTTCTCAAATCTACTGTAACATTAAAAGAATAGTTCACTCAAAAAAGCATTTTGTGACTTACTGTCAAAAGGTGATTTTTGATTTAAAGAGCGAAACGAGCTAGATGTTCTTTTCCATATAATGATTCTATACAATAAAAGTGATTTTAGCTAGAGGGGAAGACTTTTTTTTTTCTTTTTTTTTAATAATTTCACAAAAAGGTTTCATATGGCTTAGGAAGACTTGAAATATAGTGTACAAATCACATAGACAACATTTATCATGATTTTTTGATAGACCGGTCCCCATCTACTATCATTATTTAGAAAAGATGGTCCGGATATTTTTTAAGAACCATTTGTTTCAAAAGCAAAACAAAAAGTAGATTTAAAGATTAAAATATTTTATGACGTGACGGTAAAGCAAAACTTTTGATTATCACTGTTTTCACAAAAATATTAAACAGCATAACTGTTTTCAACATTTATAATTAGAAATCAAAACACAAGAAAGGTTAGGAATCACTTTATAGTGAGTAAACAATGACCAAGTAAATTAATATAACCATTATTGTTACATTTATATTTCACCATCGTTCTTTTGATTGTATACTAAAGTATTTAGCAATCCATTGCTCTGCTCTGTTGCAGCAGCAGCCCATAATGTTTGCATTCAGTGAATGTAAACTCGACAAATACACCACATGACATCAACTATTTAATATTGATGGCCCATAGTCACCCAATGCACATTTTAGCAAGTGAAAGCTTGCCTTTAAGGAATAGTTCACCCAAAAATGAATATTCAACATGACGTTTAGTTGTTTCAGTGCGTATAGATCTATCTACCCTGAGTGTTCTGTGTACGTATTATTGCTATTGCTTTATGGGCTGTTTATGAATGACAGGCAAGCTCAGGCAGGCTGCTTCTGTTTGATACAAATTATGCTTTTTTTATTGTTACCTTGCTACAAGTGGTACGGTGCTTTATGTACATATGTATGTATGCATGTGCAGGGAGGTCAATAATACCAAACTTGACATTTAAAAATTATGTTGACATTTTCTCTTTTCTCTTTCTCTGCAGTTTATGTGCTCATTTCGGGGTTAGTTAGCTTTGCTGTATGCTATAAACACGGCCCCATCACCAACAAACACACCCTCAACTTTATGACCTGGGGTATGCAAGTAGTGAGCATGGTTTTGCTGTACTATGGGATTACTATCCCCCCTGCCTACTACGTACTGATCATGTTGCTGTTGTGCTGGAAGATTCTGCCCTTGGCCTGGAGCCTTCTGATGTGGATTTGCAGGTAAGAAAAGCACCACAAACTGTGAAACAGGTGAGAAATGTTTAGGGTAGGGCTTTATATTTCCCCACCCAATTCATTCAAAAGCTGATCATGGTTACTTACCAAAATGAAGCCAGGTGGTTGGAGGAAAGGGGTTAAAAAGTAAAGGGCCGGTGACACTACTTTTTGTTCCATTGACTTCCATTCACACAAAAGCGAATGCAGGAGACACAAGCTCATGTGATTTTTTTTGCTTTGTTCCAAAGTTCAAGTTTGAAGAACTCTGCCCCATCTCGTGAAGACATGTAATCAGTAGTAGATTGATAAGTCACGGCGTCGGTGTGACCTCTTAGCTGAATTAAAAGAATGAACTTTAAATCTGTAGGATTGCAGCATTGCAGTACCGTGGAGTAGATTGCATATTTTTTCATTTTTGAGTTGAACTGTACACAATATTGTACACAATAAGACATGCATTAAGAAAATACAGTAATTTTGAGTTAATGTTGACTAAGTCTAAGAAGCTGAAAGTGAATCATATGATGAAATTGACCTTTGAACAGTTGAAATATGTAATCATAAAAATTTGCATGTATTAACTCTGACTTTATGCCTTCAGTCTCTTTTACTCATTCCTGGGCTTGTTCCGGAGGAAGAAACGGCCCAAGCTCAGGCTACTGACTGAGGAGGAGTACAGAGAGCAGGGAGAGATCCACACCAGAGCCTCCCTGGAAGTATTACAGGAGCACTGTAACAAGTCTGGCTTTCCTGCATGGGACACTGTGTTGAGGCTCAGATCACCGCAAAAGTAATTACAGTTTGTATTCATCAAAATAAGCATGTTTACAGGGCACACATGTACTGTATATATCCCATTTTATTGAGTGATATTCCTCACCAGTTGTTTCTGCCTCTTTCAGGTTTGCAGAGTTTCTGCGCAATGGCAGTCACGTCACTCAAGAGGAGCTTCAGAATCATGAGAATCAGTACGGGCTTGGTGGGGAATATTACGAAAACATGCTCTTCAACAGCAGCTCCAGTGACACCCAGTCGCACAGAGGAGAAGCAGAGGACAATAGCGAAGATGAGCGGGATAGTAACAGTCCTCCAACCCTAAATAATGTCCCCAGTCCTGCTGTATATACTGTATATACTCCAGCTGTCTGCCAGTATCCCCCTGTCACCTACACCCCTCAGCCAGAACCCATGGATCCAGAAGACCAGGACTTCTTTTAAAATTGTCCTGTTGTCAATTTTGTCATGTTAATTTTAAAGAGACTTTTTGAAACGCTAAACATTTTTAGGAAGGAATGACTTGAAGGAACATTAGTAGGTCCATAAGGATTGTAAAAATAATCTTTCTTTCTCATTTGTGTTTAAATGATGTCTTTCAGACAGAGTGGGCTGCTACTATTATATATTTTTTTTAGCAGGAGTTTGTATTCTCGTACCCAAGTGATGCAGAGCTGGGAATAACACTTTTTTTGTACATACTGTATGTTAATAGTGTGTGTGAATAGATAGTGACTGTGCTGCTCTCAGGTATATCAGATCATCAGGACATCATTGCAGTTTGCTAATACATTTGCCTCAACACATACAGTCCCACAGCATTTATGTAATTGAAGGAAACAGTGCACTCTAGTGTTGGTTAAAGGAACAGTTCACTTATAAATGCAAATTGTGTCTGGTTTACTCACGCTCATCTTAATCCAAACCTCTCTGTCTTCCTTGGAACACATAGAGGAAGTTTAGCGGGATCTCCAAATTGCTCTTTATCATATAGTTAAACTAAACGAGGACATACGGTTTCCAAAAGTTTCAAAACTGCACATCTAAGCATCAGCTAAATCACTGAATGTTTTTTTTTTTGCCTTCCACTTGATATCTATTAATCATCAAGTTTCTTTAGTGCTTGGGTGTCCAGTCCTGGTCTTGGAGGGCCGACATCCTGCAGATTTTATTTCCAATTTTTACCTACCTGGAAGATTCTAGTAATCCTTAAGACCTTGATTACTTTAGTTCAGCTGTGCTTAATTGAGGTTGAAGCCAAAATCAGCAGGACTGGACATCCCTGCTTTAGAGGCTCTGTAGAATTTTCATGTTAGTGTGAACCATCCCTTCAAAATGAATCAACTCATTGTGTATGTTCTGCATCATCTCATGTGGGTTTACACATCTACATGCTGGCATTTCATATTCTTTCCTTTTTATTGAACTTTTATCTGAAGAAAGAATGTATGTTTTAAAAAAAAACATTTCATTTTAAGTGTTTACAGCCTTTTATATTGCCATTTAATTAAATTAAAAAAAGACAAATGGCTAAATTCTCAACCAGAATATTGTATTGTGTCATCATATGTAAACATTTCAAGAACTTTTATAAGCAGAGGTCATTATACACAAAGCTGTGAGGCACATGATTTCAGACACCATATAGGGCAAATCAACCTTCTGATGGTTTGTATTAGCTACTTGGTTTTACAGATAACTATATTTAACAGAACAGAGCATGGCTTTAACATTTTATTTAATACAGAGTAGATGTTTTATATTTAAATTTGGTCAAGTAATATGGAAGCATGAATAGCAAAATTACATTTTATACAGAGTGCAATGGCAAGTCCCATGAATATTTTGCTGAAGCACCTCTGCTGTTGGATTATAAGAATTTATCACTCAGAAATATGCAGATTTCCTCATAGGCACTGACTCTTCAAGCATTCTGTACAAAGACTTGCAAGCTCTTTGCAACTAATGCATGACATCAACTGTGGCAGTGCAAAGCATATTGATTCTATTGCCTCGGCTAATGTAGAATACCTGTAGGCCAACATAATATTTTTGGTCCAATGTCAGCTGTCATCTTTTACACCCCATACCATGTCTAAATCATAAGGCTATTTCCCAAAGAAGTTCACTTGATTGTTGATTGTGGTTGTGCTATTGGAGGCAGCTGTTTGGAATGTCCTGGCAATTGAATTGAGTTTTCTACTGGTTCTTTTCTCCCTGTGGATGGAGGCGGTTCTTCCAGAGGACGGACAGGATGTGTGTTTTGAGGAACGAATGCACTGGTAGTAGGTTCTTGTGAGAGATATTCTGCCGGACTAATTGTATCGGGTTGCGATGATGTGTTTTCATCATCAGGTGGCGTCGCTGAAGTTTGCTCATTTGTCTCCTACAAGAGGACGACACATAAAGGTTAAACATTTGAAATAAATGTCTAAGGTAAGGTACATTTTATTTGTTAAGATGTGTACTAGAATGAATAAAAAAAAACGTGTAATTTCACCCCAAAATTAAAATAATGAAGCCTATTTTAGGATCATGATGCTTTAAGCTGTGATATTTTCTTAAAAATTCACATTGTTAACTAGATTTTCATTTTTGATTTTATTTTGAAATAATATTTAAATATTCTCTATAGGGTTAATTAATTAATAATTATAATTTAATTAGTTACATTTATATAGCGCTTTTCTGGGTACTCAAAGCGCTTTACATGAAAGGGGGGGAATCTCCTCAACCACCACCAGTGTGCAGCATCCACCTGGATGATGCGACGGCAGCCATAGTGCGCCAGAACGCCCACCACACACCAGCTTATTGGTGGAGAGGAGACAGAGTGATGAAGCCAATTAGTGTATGGGGATGATTAGGAGGCCATGATGGTCAGAGGCCAATGGGCAAATTTGCCCAGGATGCCGGGGTTACACCCCTACTGGTTAAGATTAAATGAAATGATTCCTTTTATTTTAATAAAAAATAGAGGCACTATAAACAATTATTACTATGACACAAACACTTCACAATTTAAATTATACATTTTCTTAAATAAAATGTCAGAATTTGTGGATTAAGTCATAAATATTAATTAAAAAAAACACCCTAAAACCAAATGTTCCTGAAAATAATTTTTTTTAAATAATTAACTTTTTTCCCCTTCAATTATCATTACCATAAAGTGTTGTCACACGAAAAGATATAATAAAATATTTACAAAAATGTGGGGGTGTACTCACTTCTGTGAGATACTGTAGATGCTTTTTATTTTTTATTTTTATAGACTGAATTTAAGACTAAATGAAATTATACTTCGTAATGTAATACCTTTTCTATTAAAAATAAAGGCAGTACAAACAATAATTACTATGATTCATTAATACTAAATTCAAATATTTTTTTGAATTTTTTAAAATATATGTATTCTTAGGGGGTGAAATATGACCTGGACATCTTCTTGAAATGTTTCGTGAGATGCACCAACCAAGCATTTATTTGACTTCAAATATAAACACTATGTGTACTTTACAATGACAAATAAGTAACTGTGCCAAATGCGGGGAAACAAACGACAACAAAAAAGATGTCCTGACTTTAAACATTTGCTCAAAAATTTAAATAAACGACACAAAGCAGCTGAAGCACAGAAGTCTGTTTTAAGAAAGGACAAACAAAACTGACAACAGAAAAGCATTTATTTTGGTAAGAAGTGGGTTGTACAATGGTGTTAGTAAGACTTATGTAAATTATCCAAGAATACATTAAGAATGAAAGAGGAAATGCAATAACAGACTGTGACAGGACTGCATGCATTTTTGTGTACAAAGTGCAAAGACAGATATTTTTCCTCACCTTTCCCCTGAGAAAATGACAGCATGAATGCAAAGAGAAAGAGTTAATCATTCAGTAAAAAGGTATAAAATATAATTTTCCATCAGTATGAAATTTTTCCATATTGGTTTTCACAATAATTACATACCAAAAAGCCAAGATGACAAACTAATACAGGCAGAAAATTAGCAGGAAAAAGGTCATGAAATGTTATTAAACAGCAGGAGTGAAACTTTCACCACCTCCTAATGTCCAAATCACAAAGGGTGCCACCCTACCTGCGGGGCTTGACTTTCACCACAGTGGTTGTTCTTTGACAAAGCAACCATATCTCTGATCTGATAGAGGGCGAAAGCGATGGTGACCCAGGGGGAAGCAGACACCACCCAGGCCGGCTTGTTGGCATTTTCTTGCTCTTCCTGATGCCTGGTTTTCTTAGGAGGCGTCTTTGATTCGGGATTTGGCTGAGATGCAGATTGGTTCTGGACTAAGTCAATAGTGGCGATAGGCACAGGGCTGGAGGGAACTGGGATGTTCTCAGCCAACATCGAGCCCTCTGTAAAAGAGCACAGACGTAATCAATAAGCCGTCGCAGGTTTTACTCCAGCAAAACAGCAGGAACTTACTTTTATCCTCGTTCTGACCTAACAGCCACTGTATCAGAGAGAAGACAAGTAATGTGACCAGAGAGGCCATACCGAGGCCTCTGAAGGTTTCTGCAGCACCTAAACAGGAAATTTGCAAGATGAAAAAGGCTGATACTGTAAGATGAATATCATTCACAATGAAAAGAACAATCTAAAAGTTTTCTCATCACCCTTTTGGATATTATCTATATATATTCAGCAAGGCCCAAAAGTCTGAGGCATTTCTATAAAATTGTATATATACAGTATGTATAAACAATAACAGTGTGAAATATAATTTCCATTTAAAATCACTAGTCTTCTATTTGAATATATTTTAAAATGTAATTTATTTCCTGCAATGGCAAAGCTGAATTTTTAGCATCATTACTCCAGTCTTCAGTGTCACATGATCCTTCAGAAATCATTCTAATATACTGATTTTGCTGTTTAATATTTTTGTAGAAACTGTGACATTTTATTCTGGATTCCTTTATGAAAATGAACTTTGACGCATGTTCAATGAACAGAATTTATTTGAAAAATATTTTTTTTTAGATGAACTTCGTCACTTAGATCAACTGAATGCATCCTGGTTGAATAAAATTATTTATTTGTTTTAAACTTACTTAACCCAAACTTTTGAATCAGTGTATCAAGGTTTCCACAAAAATATTACGTTCATCATTGATAATAAAAAAAAATGTTTCTTGAGCAGCAAATCAGCATATTAGAATGATTTCTGAAGGATCATTTGACACTGAAGACTGGAGTAATGATGCTGAAAATTCAGCTTTGCCATTGCATAATAAATTACTTAGTAAAATATATTCAAACACAAAACAGTTATTTAAAATTGTAATAATATTTTATAGTTGTATTGTTTTTACTGTATTTTTGATCAAATAAGATAATGATTTATTAGTATTTAAGTTAAAAAAATTAAACAAACAAAAGCAAATGTCATATTTTCATAGACTTTTGGATATAGAATAATGTAGAATTTACCTTTACTACAAGAGTCTGATTCTTTGTAAGTGTGTCTAAATATATAACAGCTTAAAAGCATGCATGAGGCACATGTATGGCAAGTCTGTGACGTCACATGGTCTTTGTTGATGTCATACCGAAGAAGTTCACAAAAACTCCTCCTAGCATGGCTCCACAGCCTCTCCCCAGCCCCAGGTGCAGCCCCTGCAGGATCCCCTGAGCTGACGTGCGCAGAGCTGGAGGAACAGCAGCGCTCAAATACGAGATGCATGCCGCCCACACTGATGCATGTGTCAAACCTGCATGACACATTAACATAAACACTTGTGCGTCTGCCTGAATGCATAAACATTGACTACTCATGAGTTCCTTGTAATATAGGTCTATAACCACATCAATAAGACACTATTTGCAGTTGGTAAGCAAATATGAATACGTTGAAAATTAAAATGTTAAAAAGCAGCTCTATACAAGTATTACGCAATATGCTTTCATTCTGTTACAAGTGATCATTAAAAGTTAATCAGGAACAGAATGCAAAAACAAAATAGGGGAGAACATAAAAAAAAAATGAGAACATAAAATATTAATAATTAAAGCTGAGAGTCAGCAGTATAACTCATGATATTTAATGTCATAATAGTAAAAGTGAAAATTGAACAAAAATACTTTATAAATTAAATACTATATAGTAATTCTTATTTGTGACCCTGGACCACAAAACCAGTCTTAAGTCGCTTGGGTATATTTTTAGCAATAGCCAAAAAAAACATTGTACGAGACAAAATTATCGATTTTTCTTTTATGCCAAAAATCATTAGGATATTAAGTAAAGATCATGTTCCATGAAGATATTTTGTAAATTTCCTACTGTAAATATATAAAAACTTCATTTTTGATTAGTAATATGCATTGCTAAGAACTTCATTTGGACAACTTTAAAGGCGATTTTCTCAATATTTAGATTTTTTTTGCACACTCAGATTCCAGATTTTCAAATAGTTGTATCTCGGCCAAATATTGTCCTATCATAACAAACCATACATCAGTGGAAATCTTATTTAGTCCTCATTCAGATTATTTATAAATATCAATTTCAAAAAATTGACCCTTATGACTGGGTTTGTGGTCCAGGGTCACATTTTTTTTTATAATTTAGTGAATTTACCTTACAAATGAAAGGTACTTCATCTTATGTGATTATTTGATAACTTATTATTACTTGAACAATTTTATCTTTTGGTTTGCCTATATTATAACAAGAAAATTCATTACAAATGATTAATTAGTCTAGCAAAAGTGCTTCAGAACACAGACTTAACAGTACAATTAATATTATAAAACAGTTATGACTCAAAATTCTGCCACAATTGAGTAAAATGTGTATATAACAATTCAAATCAGTTGAATTACGTATTAATGAAACAAAATGTTTACCAACTGTACAACTAAACTTCGATCTATGTTGTGCCAAACAACTTCCTTCAATAAGTTCTTTGTCGTCTTGAACTGATCTCACACTCTATTTTCATATTCCTCTGTTTCTTTAGAACTTGCATATATAAATGAGCAGACTTAAACTGATAGCAAGCTAACAATATGGTATATAATATCATATTACTCAGTCACAGTTAAAGCAAACAAACAACCATTACGCTACATGTGAGGTGGGAACATGGTCATCCTGTACAGTGTCAACAGTCAACACAGTCCCAAGATAATAGTGGCTGAAGCAGCTAAACAGGCTTTTAAACCTGTTTTAGAAAAATTCAAAGGTCTTGGCATTTTAATAAAACTGCTTTTCAGAGAAAAGAAAGAGTTTACTCTTCTAAGAACTGATGTTGAACTACATATTGTACCATCTAGCCTAAGTAACAGTAACATTTCTTTCAGCTTTGAAACAAATGGCACTGCCCTAAGCCTATTTCTAAACGGTAACTGTGTGATTGCAACAGCATGTCTGATGTGAAATAAGCTGTCAGATATACTGCAAAAACAGCTGATTCATGTCCTTAGATGATCTCGAACGTCAGCTGTGGTCACTCAAGAGCACAGCCCACCAATCACAACACTTCCTGTTTGATAAGGCCAGTCGGGCGACACAAAAACACCTTATTTCTCACCTTGAAGCACCTCCATGGGTAAAACTATCCATGCATTCTCCAGGTAGGAGATGTACAGATAGCGTGCAGTGTTGCAGGCCAGTCCGATATAAAGGACTCTAAAAAAAGAAAACACAATCATGTAATACTGGTATGTCATATTTCATTCATACATATGAAACAATGCTTTTCTGTACAATGAAAATGTCACACTGGGTGTAGCTAAACCAGTTTGGTTTATAAGTAGTGGTCGGCCGATATATCGGCCGATATTTGGTATTTTTCAAATATCGGCATCGGCCGATAAGTTTTTCTGCTTTTATTTTGACGCCACACTGGACATTTATTTTGATGGCGCTGAGAGCGGCAGCGCCTGAGCACACAGTGCTCACATTCTCCCTCTTGTTTGCCGTCGTCGTTAACAGTTCTGTCTAAATACAGCTAGAAGTCTGTCTAATAATCAGACAGAATGGTTAAACAAAGGAATTAATGTATACAAAAAGTATTATAACGATTGCTTTTATATTATTAGTAATAGAAAGGCAAACATTTATGGAATTCGGAAAAGATAGTTTATTTAGGATTAAATATTCCTTCGAAGCTGGAAGAAGCATATTCTTTGAATTATTCCCCATTACTTAAAAAAGTACTGAGAGATTTGGAAAGATGGAACTCACTACCATTATCATTAATTGGCAAGATAAATTGCATAAAAATTAACATTCTTCCAAAATGTTTATATTTATTTCAAACTCTTCCCATTTCTATCCCACAAAAGTCAATAGCTCAATTAGAAAATGTATTTGGAATAATAAAACTCAGAGGGTTAAACTTAAAACATTACAAATGGCATCTAAAAAAGGTGGATTACAACTTCCAGATTTTATGTCTTATTTTTGGGCAGCACAAATGAGAGCGGTATGGTTTTGGCAGATGAATAGTACTTTGCCTCCTGCATGGATACAAATTGAAAGATATCATGCAGGGGAAATTCCTCTAGATAAGGCTCTGTTCATCCCATTGACTTGTGTTACGAAAGTAGTTAACAACCCATTCATTAGACACACTTGCAAATTGGGGTTTGAGAATTGACAGGAAAAAATATAATTGGCTACTATCATTATATAACAATACTCCTTTTCACTACAACCCATCTCTTCCTGAGGCATTAAGAGATGGGATAACACAATATTGGTATAAAAAGGGAATACATCAATGTTTGTAAAGATTTGGGGCAAATTTATTGCATACGTGAATAATTTGGATGTTACATTGACTGAAAATGCTGATGTGATAATGTAACCCTTTCTTAACTTTAATTGCTTTATTATCAGTATTGTTATTTATGTATTTATTTGTATTGTTATTTTTTTTTCTTTTTCTCTTTTTTTTAATTTGTCTTTTTCCTTTTTTCTTATTTTACACACCAGCTCAATGCCTCGCAAGAATGTTCATTTAAGTGTTCTGTCTAGTGAGGATGTGATGGGGGTGGAAGGGTGGTTAGGAAAGAATGTTTACTTGTAAATTGTACTAAGTCTGTAAATTGTTGATGTGAAAATTATAAATATATTGATAAAAAAAAAAGAAAGACAAACATTATAATACTTTCTCGTTTGCCGTCAGCATTAAGCAAATACGCATTTACATAATTTAAACAAATCTTTGAATGACTAATGAACATTTAATTTCACAAACTTAGTCGAATCCAGCTGTGAGATCTTGTGAAGTGTGCATTTTTATCCAGCATGATCGCGTGCTCTCTGTGTGACGGTCGGTCCGTGTGAAATTAATGCTTTAAACGTTAAACTCGTGATTTCAAATTATGCTGCGCTTTATCCATTTACCCACTGTCATATTCATGTCATTTTCTCTGTGCTGTATGTAAAATGAGTGTTACCCTGGCTTTATTTAAAAAATATGATTCCCAATGCACACAAATTTCCCAGAATACTGAGTGCCCTGTTGGTTACAGTGTTTACTTCCTTTTTAATTATATTTTTATTAAATATTTATTTATTTGTGAAAAATACTTTGCCATCTACAGTATAAGTATGTTTATTTTACACATTTATTTTTTAATCCATTGTCAAATGATTTCAAATTTCTTAAATATTAATTAAAACTAAAAACAAATGATATCGGCTTTATATCGGCCCCCCTGCTTTCCAAGATATCGGCATCGGCTGTCAAAAAACCAATATCGGTCGACCACTATTTATAAGGCCTATTGTAGTTAAGGCTGGGTGTTGCATTTGCTGGTGATGTCTATTCTGACGTCCGAATGAATGACTCACTCTGTCCTAGAGACGGGCTGTGAGCATGACCACACAAGATCTCACCAGTGCTAATCTACAAACACAGAATCTCTAACAGGAAAAAACAACTTTAATGTCATTACTACCCGTTTAATTCGAATGTTGTTTCCTGGAAAACCAATCTCATGAGAGTGCCGGCGCTGGTGCTTTAAAAATTAAGCGTCTAATTTCTTCGCTACTAGCATCACTAAGCATAAATTACAGTCATAAATTACATTATGATTATAATTTGTAAATGCATGTTATTGATGTTATTGTGAACAATTCATTCATATGATTCATTCATATTCATGTTTTAACTAGTAATTTCAACATAACCAAATCTTTAGGTTAAACAACAGGTGACATATGTCTTGACTTCTCCAAACATTCAGTTTGCTTAAACAGCGCCCCTTTTTTTATGATCGCCTGCAAGCTCGCATTGATACAAGCAACATTCAATGAATAAACAAAAGTCCCTGTCCTATATTTTTTTCTTTTCCGATAATCCTTTTAACTGGGATGTATGAAGAAAAGACTGTAGCTACTTTTGCTTCATCGCAACTTTAATTAGAATAATGATTGTTTCCAAACAGGCTTCCTAACCTCTCTCCCCATCTGCCATTGGTTGAACAAATACATAGCCCCACCCCAAACCCACACCATTGGTTGAGTCAGTGTTGCTGTTGTCGGGCTCGTCAGGAAGCTCCACAGACCAATGTTTTGCACAACATTGTTTACACATTTTGAGGGAATCAACATTCAAACAGCTTACTTACAGTTGTGCAGAATTTATTACTAATTTATATTATATAAACTACAAAAAAGTAAAAACCTACAAATTGTTTTATAATTAAAACACATTAAACAAATTACATTAAAACAGTTTAAACAATTAAAACAAATTAAAATCTGTTTAACTGGGATGTACATAATACAGAAGAAAAGATCTATCACTACTTACGTTTCATCACGACTTTAATTAAAATAATTATTGTTTCTTAAATACTCTCCCTGTCCACCATTGCTTGAAAGAATACATAGCCCCGCCCCAATCTCACACCATTGGTTGAGTCAGTATCGCTGTCAGGCTGGTCAGGAACCTCAAACAGAGCAATGATTTGCTCCACAGTGTTTACATGTTTTGGAGAAATCAACCTACTAACAGCTTACTTATAGTTGTGTGCATTTTAAGCATGCTAACACCAAAAAAAAAACTACACAAAAACCTTTAAACAGGAGCGTTTCAACTCCTTTCTTCATGCAACTACATGCAGCTCTGGGAGAAAGCCATGCAAATGTTGACTCTACAAACTACAGAGAACATTTCACTGTACACTATGTTGGCTCTGCCACACCCTTTGCCTTTAGAAAGCTTTAGAATTGATCAACAAAAGAAGCAAGCTCAGTGGATCAATGCTGGAAAGCCTAGACAATGTGTGATGGGGCTAATGGCAGGATAAAGTTACAGGCCTCTCTGCAGTCATGACTGAAAACAGGCCACTTAAAGGCTACAGAGACAAAACTGAAGGTATCATATGCATTAACAGAACATTTTTGTCCCCATAAGAAGACTCTATAGATGATTTTTTAAATATACAGTAGAACACATGAATTTATTACTAATTTATAAGAACTATAAAAATAAAAATGTTGCAAATTGTTGTAGAAATATATATTATTTCATAAAATATATAAAATGTTATACAACATATATTAATATAAAAATTACATCTGTGAGATACTGTATAGTCACTGTGAAATATAAAGTAACAATTGTGGGATATAAAATCACATTGAGATATAAAGTTACATTGTGAGAAATTACAATTGTGGTATATAGTCACATTATGAAATATGAAACAATATTGCGATATAAAATCACATTGTGAGATATAGTCTCTTTGTGAGCAGCAGCAGTTCTGCAAGTTTCACCACCTCATGTCCATTAGCTTTTTTTTTTTTTTTTGTAACAACAATCAAGTTGTAATATTCTAAATTAAAATGCTCAGTGTGGTAAGCCAGAAATCATCTTATATGTTGCATGGAGCTGCAGTTCTGTTACGCAGCAGAATTACAATACCTGCAGATGCAGTTTGCTGCCAACTAATCAGCTTTTCACAAAACAGCATCTGTCGACTAAAATAACATCACCATAAGCTAGAAAGTGGTCACTGAAACTGGTTTGAGGGTTCTGTATCGCAAAACGTCTGCCAAATGCTACCAGTTTACATCATTAAAAATGCAAAGATTGAGCCACCAGTACAACCTGAGCTATCCTAAAATGATTCATCTTGTTCACACTGAAGAGCCAGTGCTCTGGGAAATACCACACACTTGAGAAATACCACAAAGGAGATTGAGGATGAGAGCAGACCTTTCCAAGTGCCTGTTTACCAGTGCCCACATACACATGGGAAACATCCTGGAAAAGGGTGGCCTGCATCTTGGCTGTACATTGTGTGCCCAGGCTAGGCAGTGCCCATTTAGAGCTTAGCCAAAGTCAACAATACTTACTGAGACACCTTAAACAACCTTTGAACTTTCCCTGTGAGCCCACCACTATGCCACAAATTTGCCAGTCTTTATGTGTTAACACAGATATGGCACAAGAAATAAGTGCATTTACATCACTTTTGACCAGATGTGCTTGGTAGTGTTCTCATAAAATATTGAGCAACCAGGATATGGTTACCATTGCATGAAGGCGGTGTTTGGGCACAGGTCTAAAATACATAAACTAGCATACTAAAATAAAATAGTTGGCTCCTCCCATACAAAGATTTGCTCAACACTAACCCCTGAGCATACATTATAAATGATTGTTTAGCTTTTGTGAACATCAGAAGACACCTGTCTATAACATACCAAATGTAAAGTAGATTGCTCAAAAAAAAGAGACAACTGAATATAATTTTGTCAGTAAATCTAGTAAAACGCATGCTCTTTTAAAGCAATCAGAATGTAATGACAACATAAGGAAAATATGCCTTTCTAACTATATCCATTCACTTTAAACTAAACTTAATAATCTAAATATAAAAGCTAATTTAAAGTATTAGTAAATACTATAAATATAAATAAACTAAATTTATTTATATTCATATTATTTATATAAATTATACATTCTAAATAGTAAAATAATATTGCTTCAGATTATGTTTCCTTCATGGCTGTGGCCTCCAATAGATTTTTACTGACACTTCCTAATTAATATAGTTTCTGGTAAAACTGCAACCAAACGGGTCATTCATCCTGCCCAAACTCTGGACAACAATTATCATATTTTAAGAGCTATATTTTGCTTGGGTACGGTTTAAAGAAACAACTATAACTGGCAACATACAAGGGTGTTCACAATAAAAGCGATTAAATTGCTGGAAGTCGCAGAGTCTACATAGGCATTCTTATGGTCCGTTCACACAGGAAGCATTATTGCATTTAAGAACAGCTTAAAAACATGGGGCTAAAAGTAGCAAGACACGATGCACCCAGGGGCGCGGGAAGATGTTTTCGGTTGGGGGTGCTGTGTGTGTCCGTGTTGGGTGAAGGGGGGGATTTCGGGGGGGCTGGTTCACTTACGTCGGTGCTGGGGCTGGTGTTGTTTGGATGCCGATTTTGGAATGTTTTTGCTGGGATGGGCATTTAAAAAAATCTGATATTTGCTTTTGTGCCATTATCTCCTTGTATTAAAGTTAATCTTGTTCGCATTCTGTACAGTTCATGTCTGATACCATGTGCTAGCGTCACGTGTTCATGAGGATTAGGCTAATCATCCCATATAGAAAACATCACAAGTAAAATTAATCATGTTTATAAAGATAAACATGGGTTTATTATAGCCCACTTACAATTTACATTTCAGAGATCATTACAAATAAATTATTAAATGCTAAAACTGAATAAATTTAAATGAACAAACTTGGCGTTGCATTTGCAACCATGTGAAAACAGGGGGTGCTGCAGCCCCCTCAGCACCCCTACTTCCCGCGTCCCTGGATGCACCAGTTAAATACGTCCATCTAGTTCAACAATTAACAGCAGAGTGGAACACAAAAACACTTTCTGTGTGAACTGGCTCTCACCTGACCTTAGTATCCAACTCTATCAGAACATGGTCTGCACTTAGTTGCCACTGCTTATTTGCATATAAGTTGAAGTGTGCTCAATTGTCTACTTAATTGCTCAATTGTCTACTCTCCCTGAAACTGAATGACTCATGGTTTAGACAAATTGCAGTCAGTATGAATTAGGGCTGCACGATAAATCGCATGCGATATTTAACGCGCATCTTGTCAGTAAAACCATTCTGTAATCAGCGTAAATCTCCATCATGTGCGGGCTTTCACATGGAGCAGCATTAACTACACAGAGCTTAAAGAACCGGCTTTACTGACAAGATGCGCGTTAAATATCGCATGCGATTTATCGTGCAGCCCTAGTATGAATGTACCAAAAAACAGGAGAAGCCTCAGCCAACCACTTGCATTGGAAAGTGGACTGAACCAACGTACAAGCGGTAAGTGGTTATCCTACTTTGTCTATCATCTGCATACTTGCCATTAAAACAAATCAAAAATGACTTCTAAGTGCATGTAACGTCCCTAAATTAATATTCATAATCCAAGCCCACTTTCCAAATGTAAATGTAGATAAACTTACAATACAAGTGCAGTTAAGTAAAAATTATGCCATATATTTTACATAATTAGGTTCCCACCTGATGTGTCCAACAAGCTCAATGAGTTTGTGGCTGATGAAATAAGCCGCCAGCTCAGACACATGGCTGAGCACCGAGCAGATGCCAAAGAGAGTGGGGGTTCCCTTCAGGTCCTCCAGATGCCAGTAGAGGAAGGTGAACACGAAACCGTAACCAAACCCCATGAACCAGGCCACAAAGAGAACCGTACCATAGCGAACGCCACAAATGATCCGGAAGAGATCTCTGAAGGGAAAAGGTTGTGGGTTGCTTTCTGAGCACACGGGTGCATCATCTGAACTGGACTCTGGTGGGACTTGAGGTATTTCCACATCCTCCTTATACTCTTCTTCATCTGACCGATAAACCCTATTGTCAAAGTGGAACTGCGTTGCCACAATAAGTGCTGCGGTCATCAGGACTCCAAAAGCTATGAATGCAATTTGGTAGTTTTTGTAGTCGGGCTGGTCACAACCCGAACCCTGGATGAAGATTGTGATGTGTGTGTGGTCGATCCAGATGCCCACTGACAGCATAGCGACACCCCATCCCAGAGATCCCCACATTCTCTGGAGTCCATAATGATCTCTATGTTGGCCCAAGTACTGAAGAGTGACCGTGTCCACAATTGTCACAGCTGGGGCGCTGAAGAACTCGCCAATAATAATGACCAAGAGGATCAAGAGAAATATAGTATCTACTTGCTCCTTATTAAAGACTATGATATTCTCTTTGAGTTTGGCAGTGGTAGCTTGTGTTTCAGTTGTCGAGGTAGATTTTGACGCAAGTGTTGAGGTACGGGGCGACACTATTGTCGAGTTAGAAGGCATCGAAACGCCAACAGGATTCTCAGTGGAGTTTCCAGAGGGAGTGCCTGTGGTATTTACATTTGCACTTCGAATGTATCTAGAGTGAGGTTCATATGCTTCTAATATTGGCTGAGAAAGTGGAGGAGCAGAGTACATATCCTCAATCAAGTATCTTCGTTGTCTGGTACGGTTACCAGTTTGCGTATAGTTTGTAAAATTGTTTGGTGCCTCAACAGTAGGGTCCTTACTGACACAGGTCATAGCAGCTGGCTTGACGAAGCCAATTCCGCAGTTAAAGATCACCCAGCAGAGTACAGAAAATAGCAACACCGCCTTTCCTTTCTTGAAGCGGTCCGCCACTACTCCCCAGAAAGGCGCACTGCAAAACTCAATAAAATAACGGATCCCAACTAGCAGGCCACTTTGGCTGGGTGTCATTCCCAGCTGCTTGTAGTACACGGCAAGCAGGGGGTGTAAAGAGCCATAGGCGGAGTAAAAGAAGAAGTAGAAGACCTTGGAAATCAAGAGATGATTGTCTATTCGCACACAGCACCTCTCCATGCAGTCCATACTCTGAGTGGGCTGAGAAGGGAGTGTGTTGTTGGGGGCAGGTGGTGCTGTTTGACCGGACAGTGTAGTGTTTGCCACCTGCCCCAGGGACAGAGTGTTAAATGGTTCAGACAGAACATATTTCCTCTTCTGGTCCTCCTCATCATCCGTAAGGATGGCCACCCGATCACTCGCCATTTCTGTGAGACAGACATTAACATCTGTTAAAGAATTAACTTGCAATTCTTAAATGTTGGGGCACAAACATTTGGTCAAAATCTGGCTGATTAGCATTATTTAGCTGGTAAATCCCTAACATTACCTTGAAGAACCAAAAATAATTTTATGGATTTTTTCCCCCTTGTTTGCTGCCTCTCACAACATAGTTCATGGTCATGAAGAGCTCGAGAGATTCTTGCTGTACCATCAGCCAATCAGCATTGTCATGATGGCATTTTCCTAAAGCTCTAAGCGATTAGTTGCATTGCATTTATGGGTCTGGTGATTGGCTCAAAAAACAAAACAAAACAAAACGACACCAAAAAACCCCATGCAGTGTCCATTAACAAAGATGGCAAATTTATAGCACATAGTTATGGGCTCATGTTCATAATGCAGTGTTCATTTAGAATAATGGCAACATTATCTAAAAACGAAAATAAAAATGGAGGAGACAAACTTCCTATATCATTTTGTGATTATGTCAAAGGCCATAAATCACACTACTGTTGTTATGTGTTTCAAAAATGGTCATTTTCTCTATTTACCCATACTAATAATTTGCATATTGTTGTCTATACAGTTCATAGGAAGATTAATGCATTGTTTAATATTAAGTACATTATTGTTTACCTTTCTGCATTAAACCATTTTGATAGCACCTTGATGTCCAATGAAGCAAAACAGTTAATTGAGTGCTACTTTTATTTATTTATTTATTTTCATAATAATAATAATAATAAATAAATAAATATATA